TTTTTATCGTTAACATTAATTTTATAACATAAAAATATAAATAAACTATTAAATAAATATATATTTATTATATATATTATATTAAACAAATAAAAAAATAAAATAAAAAAAAAAGATATATTGTTGTCAGGTAAAAGTGTGTTTAAATATATTAATTTAACGCAAAAAATATGAAGAAAATAAAAAAGTGGCGTGAGTTTACTTAACCAATTTTTTTATAATGTCATTATCTATATAGTTATTTACTGAAATTTATAGAGACACATTGTTACATATTTCTATTTGAAACATTAAAATATATATATGCATGTATAAAAAAACAAACAAAAAAAAACACAACCAAAATAGTATAGATGAAACAAGAAACTATTATTATAATATAAATCTCGTTTTTTTTTATTTTTATACTTTATAATGTTTTAGAAATAAAATAATAGAAAAAAGTGGGTATAAACATAAAAAACATATAACACTTATCATTATTATTTTTATTGATTTATTAGATAATTAAACATATGACTATTTCTATAAACCACCCAACTTTAATGATTTTTTTAAAAATCTATTAATACTCCAAATTAAAGATCAACTTGATTAAAGAAGTATCTTTTTAATGTGTTATAATAAATTAAATGAAATGGTGATCATCATTTACTTGTTTTTTTTTCTGAAAAAAAGACTCAAAAAAAAAAAAAAATACCCCACAAAAAAATTGAAAAAAAATAAAAAAAAAAAGAAAAAATAAATAATAAAAAATGATAAGACTAAATAATAAAATTTTTTTTAATTTTTTTATTTTTTATTTTTTAAATTTTAAAATAGATGTTTAAAATGATTATTATTAATATAATAAATCAATTTATCTACCTCTAAAACCTGAAGTTCTTTCTGACTTCTTATTACCACCAGTTTTAACATCTCCATCAAGTCTTAAATTGAAAGCTTCTTTTGGTGGAACGAGAAATTGGTCTGTATCAATCTTTTCCATTTCTCTCATTTTAGTTTGTTTATGTGGTCTTGGGGTTGCATGGCTGTCGGCACCTATATAAATAAATTTTATATTAGTAAATTTAAAAAAAAAAAAAAAAGAAATAAATAAAAATTTGTATCTTACCTTTTTTTTTGGCCCAACCTAAATCATTGTTTGCTAAGTAATTTCTTGACATTTTGTATATGTATATATTATTGTTTGAAATGAAAATGAAAGAGTAAATTTGTTGAAATTTATAGATTTAAAAAAAAAATAAAAAATAAATAAAAATAAAAAAAAATAAAAATTAATTTTAAAATAAATTGCATTTTTTATTATATTATTTTAACATATTAAATAATTTATATATCAGGTAGGACCACCAAATTAGGAAATAAACATTAAAAAATATTTTTTAAAAATTTTTTTTTTTTTTTTTAATTTATTACTAACTCAGATATACAACTACTTTAATATAATGAGAGGAAATTAATATTAACACCAAGTTTTTATTTTAATTTTAAAATTAAAAGAAAAAAAAAAAAAAAAGAAAAAATATTATTATTAATAATTATAATAAAACTATTTTATTAAGTATATTATTATTTAATATTTTTATTTTAAAACTCGAATAAATAAAATTTTTTTTATTTTTTTTTTTTTATTTTTTTTTTTCCAATATTTTGAATTTATTTGTTTATTTCTCTATTTAAAATAAGTTTATTTATTACTATTTTCCCAATTTTTTATTAAAATTTAAAACACTCTGCCACATTAAGTTTTAATTTTCATTAAGTGTGAGAAGATTTTTTAATTTTAATAGAAAAAAAATAAAAATTTAAATTTAAATTTTTTATTATTTTTTTAATATTTTTTAAAATTTTTTAAATTTTTTATTTTTTTTTTATTAATTAAATTTTTATATACAAATTTTATAATAATAAAAACTAATATAATACTTTTCATTTTTTTTTATTTTTTTTTAAATTTTTAATATTTAATATTATATTCACTTTAAATTTTCTATATATATTTTTCCATTATTATAAACATTTTTTTTTTTTTTTTTTATTAAATATCATTCTCCAAAACATAGTTTAGAAAAGAAATGGGTAAAGGAAATAAGTCAAAAAAAACTTCAAAAACCCATTCATATGAAGATGACGATTATATAGATGAATATAATTCAGATGATGTTGAGGTTATAACTGCTATTAAATCAAAACAACAAAACAATATTAGCAAAAATAATAATAATAGTAGTAGTAACAAAAGTAATAATAATAGTAGTAACAGCAACAGTAACAGTAACAGCAACACCAACAGCAAAAACAATAGTAAGCAAAAGCAGCAAAACAATCAAAATTCTTTTGATATGGAACCAATTAGACCCTCGCTTTATAACACCTTAAGTACAGATGATGACGGTGAAGAGGAAGAGGAGGAAAACAATACAAGAAACAGTTCAAATGGTAAACTTAATAACTTTAATAATAGCGATCCTGAAGATGAGGATGATAGCCAAGAGCCTGTAGACTATGACGATATTGATGAAAGTAATAATATTATGGCTAATAAAAATAATAATAGAAATATTAACAACAATAATAGCAATAACAACCATAACAGTAACAAAAAAAAATCTCCATCAATTACACCTCCACAAAAATCAAATTCACCACCACCAAGAGAGCAACAAGTGGAATGGCTATTACAAAATGAAAATATTATATTTCAAAGAGATGGCGTTCTTCATAAAATTAATATGGGTTCTATTTTTATTACGAATCAAAGAATTGTTTGGACTGTCGAAGATAACTCTGAACTTTTGGTCTCAATTGATATAGCCAAAGTATTATGTGAGTATTTAAACCATAATTTAAAAAAAAAAAATTTTAAACTTATTAACATAAATTTTATATTAAGACTCAAATGTTTCTCCATCTACATCACAACAAGTATGGAAATTAAAGGCCCCTGGAAATGACTATTTATTTATTTTTTCAGACCCATGGACAAGAGAATCCGTTGCCGAACTTGTTAATGAATTTAGAAAAATTCAACACATATTAAACCCACAAAAGATACAACAAGCCCCACCACAACAACAGCAACAGGATGAAATTTTAAGAAGACAACAGCAGCAAGAGCAAGAAGAAATATTTAGAAGACAACAACAACAGGAGCAAGCTTTCAAAAAAAAACAACAAGAACAACAAGAGCAATTAAGAAAACAAGAAGAACAATTAAAACAAAGAGAACAAGAGTTATTAAGACAACATCAAGATTTCCAAAGAAGACAACAAGAACAAGATGAAATGCTAAGAAGACAACAACAACAACAACAACAACAACAACAATCTAAAATGTATCCATCAGTTTCAGAAAGACACTCACCTGAGTTTAATCCAAGTAAAACCCCATCACCAACTCTAAATAACTCACCACCATACTCACCAAAGCAACAATCCAATATGTATAATAACAATCAAAATAATAATCAGCAACACCAATATAACAATAATAATGTTCATGTTCAAGATATTGATGATGGTGATGAAGATGATGAAGATTATTATGAAGAAGAGTTTAGTCATAAAAATAATCAAAAACCACAAATCTCAAGACAAGAACAAGAAGAACAACTTTTAAGACAAGCACAACTCTTAAAACAGGAAGAAATGATTAGAAAACAAAAACTACAACAAGAACATTTACAACAACAAAAATTACAACAAGAACAACAACAACAGCAACAACAAAGAATGAATCAACAGTTGCAACAACAACAAGCACACCAACAACAGGTATCCCAACAACAACCAAACCAACAACCAAACCAACAAACACAACAAAATAATAAAAAAACCAATAGCAATGATGATGATGGATTTTTTAATGTACCAATTAACATGGTAGGTGATGATGGAGATTCAAAATGGGAAGAAGAATCAAATGGAGTTGAACTGGCTGGGTATTATGATTTAGAAGTTAAAGATCCAAAAACCCATAGTGACGAAAGTGGAGTTTATGTATCATATGCAATTCATGGTAAATACAAAGAAAGTGCAACATCACAACCAGTAGTTGTTCAAACTAGAAGAAGATACAGAGAATTTGAATGGCTTCATCAACAAATTAGCATTCCATCAAGTCTCCATTCGCGTATACCATCATTACCACAAAAATCAATTTATCAATTTTGGAACAAAACTGATGTCAACTTATTAAGACAAAGATGCTCAGCTTTAGATCAATTTATGAAAAATATTTCAGTTAGCGCCACATTAAGAAATCACACAACTATGAAATTATTTATGGGTTCTAAATCCATACCAACCCAACCAACTACCATCACAGAAAATTTAATAAATATCAGTAATAATATTTTATCTCCAACCACCATTACAAGCTTGACCAATGCTATTAGCGGTGGCGGTGCTATTAGTGCATCTGCCAATCCAATGTATCAAGACAGTATCGATGCCAACTTTTCGTATGAATCATCAGTTGAACGTGACTATTGGATCACTAGAAAGCTAATGTCAAAATGGAATAGAATTCCAAAGCGTTTGCCATTCTCTAAATTTTTAGTTGTCGTATTAGGAACTGTATCTGCCGGTAAAAGTTCTTTCATCAATAATTTTTATAATCTTCAAGTCAAAGTTTCAGCTGACGAGCAATTGGATACTCATTTTACACTTATTGAAACCATTCCAAGACAACAATTCTATGAATTAAGTGATCAACAAATGCCAAAGAAATTTACAAGAGAGCAACTTAACGAAAAAATTAAAGGTGAACCAGTTAGTGATCCAAGACATGGCCATGTATTCCTTTATTTAGATAAAACATTCACTCTTAGTAGATATGATGCACAATTTAGCAACTATAGAGATATCATTTCAAATTTAAATTTAGTAAGAACAGTATTAATCAACGAAGAGTATTTAACGGGCACTCCAGATGAAATTATGAACCAAAAAAAGACCATATTTATAGATTCACCAGGGTTCGAACCAAAAACTGAACACGACCCTGAAAAATTATTGGGCAGTATCCGTGTTGTACAATTTTTCCAATCAACAAGTGACCTAACATTATTTATGATGAAGGCTAAAGAGTTGGCATTGGTATCATCGCAAGTCCAAATTGTTGAACTTTGTGTACTCTATAAAACATATGGCCCAGAAATTGTTGATCATATGGTAACTCAAATGTTTAATAAAAAAGGGGAATCTAAATCTTTCTTTTCACTCTTTGAAATGGTTAAGGGTTTAGTAGAACAAATTCGTTTAAAGAATATACCAAAGACACAAGAAAGTAACGGAACATCTGTATGGGATGGTATTAAATTTGTCATGACCCAGATTGATTCTGTAAACTCAAATCTTAAAGAACAATTTTTTGAATTAGGTAGACTTTTAGGTAAAGGCTTAATGTTTTTAGATCCTCCAACTTTCCGTCAATGCAAAGCCATCGCTTTACCAATGGATAGAAAATTCAACTCTATTGAAGAAAGAAAAGAAAAGTGTGGTGATCTCGACGAACTACTTTATTATATTTATAATCTCAATCGTGGCAGTACTTACAACTCTCGTTTAGAAGGAGCCATCGAAGAAATGACTACCGACCTTCTCTGTAATATTCAAAAATCCTGGACCAACTATTTATTTAATAGTGATTATAATTTAGTTTTGCAATTAAAAGAAAGATCAAAAAATAGGGTAAGTGGTCCAGCACATACAAATTCTTTAAGAAGATAAATTAAAAATACAATATTATCATTAATAAATATTTAAAATAGTTTCATTTTTTATATAAAAATGAAAAAAAAAAAAAAAAAAGGTTTTTTTTTATTTGTTTTCTTCAAATAATAATCAATAATTATATTTTTTATTTAATATTTATTTATTTTTTATTTACATTTAAATGCCATAAAAAACGTGACGAATAATTTTTTTTTTTTTTATTTTTTTTTATTTTTTTTTCAAATTTTATAAAAAAAGTTTTACAGTTTTTAAAAAACTAAATTTTTTTTTTTTTTTTTTTTTTTTTTAATCAACACAAACAAAAAATGTAAGCTATAAATTATTTGTTTTGGATTATTTATTATTATTTTTATTATTTTTAAATGATTGAAAACCTTACACGTATTAGCCTATAGAGTGAGAAGACATTTAGAACCCCTTCGAGCTCTATTGCGAAAAAGATTTAAAAAACATCTTCAAAGAAGACAGTCTGATTTAAATAATATTAATAATAATTAATAAAATTTACAAAAAAAAATAATATAAAATAAATAACATACTAATCTTATTTTTTATTTTTAAAAAACAGGATATTTTACCTTGAACCTTTTGAGTCTCCTTTTTATAGCCACTACTCTTTTTTAAAAAAAAACATAATAAATAAAAAACTAATTTTTCAAAAAAAAAAAAAAAAAAACTGTATTCCTATTTTTATTATTTTCTTTATAATATTTTTTAAATCGTTTTATTTATTTATATTTTTATTATTTACTATGCATTTTGATCAAATTTTTTTTTATTTTTTTTTATTTTTTATTTTTATATTTTTTTTTAAAAAAATTTTTTTTTAAATTTTTTTTATAATTAAAAATTCATTGTTTAAATTTTTTTTTTTTTTTTTATAATTAAAAATCAAACAAGAATGGATAACGGAAATAAATTAAGAGATGCTGCTAAAAGTGGTGATGAAGAAAGATGCAAAGAATTAATTAAAGAAGGCCCAAATACAATTATTAATTATAAAGATAGATCTGGTTTTACTCCACTTCATATGGCTGCTATGTAAGTTTTTTGACTCCTATCTTATCCTATATATTTTTTTATTTCAGATTATTAACGTTTCTATTATTATACAGGTTTGGTCACAAAAATATTTGTACTATTTTATTAGAAAATGGTGCTGATAAAACTATTCAATCATTAGATAACGAAACTCCATCTGATGTCGCTAAAACCGTCACTCTTGGAAATTATATCAACACTTTTTCAAAATAAATAAATAAAATAAAATTAAAAATAATAATAAATATATATATATATTATATAATAAATAAAATAAAATAATAGTAATAGTAATAGTAATTAAAATATTTAAACTCAATAATTACAACCATTAGTAATAATACTTTAAATTTAATTTAATAATTTTAAATATAAATAAAAAAATAAATAAATGTCATGATATTTATATAGTATCATGATTTGTACTATTTAATATTGTAGATAAAATAGATAGTTTTTTAATATTTTTATTTTTGTTTTGTTTGTTTGAATATTTATTGTTTATTTTTTACCTATTAAATTACAACTATTGGTTATATCATCTTCTTCGTGTACAACTTGGATTAAAACATTTTTATATTTTTTTAAAACTTTTGTTAATTGATCTCTGTTGATATTTTCTCTCCACATAATTTCTTCCAAGTGATGTAGGCCCCTAAAATAAACACAAAGACGTTTAAATAATTGATATAAACTTGAGCCATCATCGATGTTGTCAAAGAATGCTTGTTCTTTTAATGAAAGATACGAGGGCATAAGAGGAAATGTTGTTGGTTGATAAATTAATGATGATGATGAATTTGATGTTGCATTACTTGTATTTGAACCATTATTATTGTTACTACTATTGTTGTTGCCGCTACTTCCACCATTGTTGTTGTTAGAGTTATTAATACCAATAGTATGTACCATTAAATGAACATATGTGAATAGTTGTACAATAAGATCATGTTGAAGCAGCCAGCCAATAATGGATAAAAATTGGGTGTGGTATTGTGGCAGTATTTTGGAAATATGGGTGTGAAGTGGTCTTGCTACAGAAAAACGGTTTAGAATATCATACAGTCTAAAGTCGGGGAAGAGTAAAGAGAACTTTTTATCCAACTCTCTATAGTCTTGATTAGAGTCAGGTCTAAGGATATAATTATTATTTCTTGTCATCATGTTTATGATTTTGGCTTTTCTCCAGTGGACAAGATGGGAGGCTAATCTATAGATTTGAGTTAGGGGTATATCGGTTTCCAATTGAAGGTCTCTAAAGTTTTTGGTTGGTTTGGCTACCTCTAAAAGTTTTTGTAGTGAAGGTGTTGTATCGTAAGTTGGTAATTTAATTGAATCATCATTTGAAAATGCCAATAAAGCATGATATGGACGAATTGGGTAGAGTGGGTAGATGTCTGGATTGTTTAAATTTAAATGTAAATTTATCCAACCATTGATTCTTAAATTCACTATTTCTTTTTCATTTAGACCATGATAAATGTCACGTATTTCGCATGCTAATCTACTCTTTTCTACAATTCTTTCAGTGAGTATGTGATGATTGGGTTTGTTTTCTAGGTTTTCTAAAGTCTGTTCGGTTAACCATTTCTCTCTTAATACCAACATATCGTGGACTTGTTTAGTGATATAGTTACATCTTTCTTGTTCATGTTTAAGTGCTGCTGATAATTGCATTGAAATTCTTTTAAAACTTTCAATTTTTTGTTTATTTAATTCTCTATTTTGTGTTGATAAAACAAATACAATATTAAAAAGTGTAATTTCTTCGTGATGATTAACTTCATTTTCTTTTGTTTTTGATTTTGTTCTATTTTCACCGCCACATGGTGCATTGTTATTGGTATTACTATTGTTGTTATTACCATTACCATTACTGTTGCTGTTGTTATTGCTATTGTTATTATTATTATTGTTATTATTATTATTACTATTATTATTATTATTATTATTATTGTTATTATTATTATTATTATTATTATAACTATTGTTATTATTATTATTATTATTGGTATTGTTGTTTTTATTTACATTTTCATTATTATTTTTGTGATTTGGTTCTTTATCTTTTTCATTATTTTCTTTATCTATATTATTATTATTATTGCTTTGAGTTGGGTCGACTTTATCTTTTGAAGAGGTAACAGATTCTCTCGCTTTTAAAACCTTTTTATTATTTTCTTTTGTGATTGTTTGCTCTTTTATTTCTTCGCTATCACTTTCGGTATTGTTTTCATTTTCATTATTATTATTATTATTGCTGTTATTACTTTCGTTATCATTTTGATTTTGATTTTCGTTTACATTTACATTTTCATTTAAATTTACATTTTCGTTTTCGTTTTCGTTTTCATTTTTTTGATTGTTGTCTGTTTTATTATTCTCTTGAGGGGCGTTATCTTTTTGTGGAGATTTTGGATTATTTTTATTTTTATTATTATTGTTATTATTTTTATTATTATTATTTTGTTGATCATCTTCATCTTCATCATTTTGATTCGTTAAGTTTGTTGGATGGCCAATAAAAGTAGTATTTTCGATTGTTAGTTCAAAAGATTGATCGCAAAGTCTTTGTTTTGGTGTTAAAATTGGTGTGATTACAACTGATGGTAGATTATATATATAGAATGGATCTTTAATATGACCACTCGCAGGTTGATCTTGTTGACTATTATCTGTTTCTAATGTTGAGCCTTTTGTGGACATTGGTTGATTGGGATTCATAGTTGTTAATGGATGTTGCTGCTTAAATGCCATTAAAGTTTCGTCTGATACTTTATTCCTAGAAACTGTTGGATATCTAAAAATTAATTTATCACCACCAACTGATGTATGTACTACTAAAATGATTCCTAACATTGTGTTATTATTATTATTATTATGGTTATTATAGTTATTAATTGGGTAGTTGGCTTATTCTTTTCATGAAATTTTCAATAAATTATAATTTAATTATTTGTGTAATTAGAAATTTTTTTTAAAAAAAAATAAAAAAAATTTTCATTTTTTTAAATTTAAAATATTTAAAAAAAAAAAAAATTAAAAAATTGATTATTTTTTATTTTTTTATTTTTAATTAATGTTCATTGTTGGACAACAAAGGAACATGTCAGTTTATATTTTATAATAACCCATATATTAATATTTATTTGAGAAAATGAAAAGAATATTTGTGTGTTTACCTTTTGCAGAAAAAAAAAAAAATCGACAAAATCAACACCACCCTAAAAACTTTATATATAGATATTTTTTTCCAAATTTTTTTTTTTTTTTTTCTTTTAAAAATAAATTATTTTTTTTTCCATACGTTTATTTTAATACCAATTATTGATATAAAATTTATAAATAAAAAAGTTTTATAATTTAATTTTTTCTTTTTATTTTAAAAAACATAAAATTTAAAAAAAATGAAAAAATTATTTAGTTTTTTATTATTTATATTTTTTATAAACAAAATTGTGGTTGCAGATATAGAACAAAGCCAATATGATTGCTTAGAAGCTTTAGATAGTAAATTTGGTGTTTTTTCAGGCGAAATAATATTACAAAATGGTGTCCAGAAGGATTATTGTTCTTCTGCTTTCTTAACATGCTCCACCGATACAATCAAAAACATTTTAACCATGTAATACTTCAAAATAATTAAAAACATTTCAATGTATATATTACTAATAAATTTTTTATATTTAGTTCCTTTTCTTCAATGGAGGTGGTACATTCTATAAACTCCAATGATATCTCTTGTTTACCTTATATAACTTCAATGTGAGAATTACCAAAAACTATAAACATTAAAATATTTCCAGACTAACTTTTTTTTTTTTTTTAAATTTCAGGGCATTATATTATTTTCTGGTTAGTGACACTATTTATACATTTTATCATCCATCTTTAGAATCAATGTAATGATAAATACCAATTAATTTTGATTTATAAAATATTTACTAATTAAAATTTCTTTATATATAGTTATATTTCTTCTATAAGGGCAATTGGGATTTCTAGTTCTACTCCTGCAACAGTCCTTAATTCATTAACAATCCAGTTTGATTCTTATCCAGCAACTTTATCTGTATCAAATTTTTTAAATGTTGAAAAAATCACCTTTATTGGCAGCAACCTTGATATAATAAGAGGAGATTCATCTAAGACCGGTGCAATAACATCTTTGTAATGGTTTTTTTTTTTTTTTTAACAAAGAAAAATAATTAATTAAAATTTTTTTTTTTACAGGACTTGCGAATCAAATTCTATTCCCGATCTTTCCAATATTCAGGTTGATTCAGTGTATGTTAAAAAAAACTTTATATTAAAAAAAAAAAAACCCCTTTAACTAATATCTTTTTAATAGTTCTTTTACTTTGGGAACAATTCTTAAAACTCAAACTCTTCAAAATTTTGGTACTTGGAGATCAGTATCTTTGGTTACTCTTTGGTCAAATTATCTTGGTGGCTATAGTTTCCCATATGGTTTGTTGGAGGTTGGAAGTGGATTAGTTGAATTGTAAGTTTAATGGTCATTTATATTTTATTTTTTTAAATATTAATTATAAATTGTTTTTAAATCTAGGCACACAAATTATAAGTTTTCGCCACTTAGCGGGCAGATTAGTTTATCTGGTCTTACTGGTGTTAAAAAAATTCAATTTTTATATGTAGGATCATTTAGTTTAGGATCAGATTTCCCAATTTCTGATTATCCTAGTCAAATGATAGATTTTACCCTTTCTGGTGGAACTTTTACAAGTATTCCCTCCTTTAATACTTTTACAAACCCCGGTACAATGTAAATTAAAAGTTTAATTTTATCATTTTAAAAAAAATTTACTAATTTTTATTTTATTTTTTTTATATAGATTTTTTTTAGATAATATAATTACTTCAACATCTGGCTTACCATCATATAAACCATTTGCATCAAAATCTTTAAAAATTTCAAATAACAATCTTGTTGGAACTATTGATGAATCTTATTGTTCAGCAGATATTTACAAATTAAATTTAAGTGGCAATAAACTTACAGGAACTTTACCAAGTTGTATTTATTGTTATTTGGGTGATGAAAAAATATTCTCAGCTCTGGAAAATAATGCCTTTACTAATTTTGAAATTCCAGCAACCCCTTGTTGTAGGTATTTTACTTAAATTTTTTTTATTATACATTAAATTTATTTATATATTAATTCTTTTATTTACAGTATCTATAAATCCATTATTTAAAATTGAGAATAGTTCTCATGTTTCACTAAAAGGAGTAAATTTGGGTTTCTCTGCCAGTAATGTAGTATCTAGACCTCCGCTTCTTTGGAAATTGATTACCCCAAGTTCAGAATATAGCGCAGAATACAGTAGTTTTAATGGTTATCAAAAAATTGAAATTGATTTTATCGTACCAGGTAAAACATGGACATTTAGTCTTGATGACAGTGTTCCTCCATCAATAAAAACTGTAACAGTATCAGGCTCAAAATTGACAATAAATGGAGAATTCTTTACTCAAAACTCTGGTTCAACCTTTGTTTCACTTGATTCTATCAGCTGCACTATCTCCTCACTTTCATTTGAATTGATTGTTTGTGATCTACCAAGCCCTATTTCAAGCACTCATTCACTACTTAATGTTACAGTTAATAGTCTTTCAACTTCAGTTTATATTAGTACAGAAAATGGTGTTTATTTAAAAACTTGTCTTTCCTGCGAATCCTCTAGAGGTGTATGTAATATTGTTTCCGGTATATGCGAGTGTTTCCCTGAATTCTCTGGCGAATATTGTGGTGGCTCTGTAATCAAATGTAAAAACGATTGCAACAATCATGGCAGCTGTAATACTACTAATGGTCAATGTCATTGTGATTTTCCATACACATCTGACGATTGTTCTCTACAGACCTGCCAACCAGATCCAGATTGTGGTGGAGTAGATAATGGCCAGTGTAATCTCAAACAGGGTAAATGCGAATGCAAGGAAAAATGGACTGGTCAAAGCTGTACTTCACCAGCAATTTATGCAAGTACTTTTTCATCAAATGTAACAGAAAGTGGAGGTACAGTTGAAATATCTGGTTGGTTTGGTCCCACTCAAGGTGATCTTATAATTAAGATAGGTGATAATAAGTGCGATATTATTTTCTTTAGCCAAGACTTGGTACTTTGTGATTTACCAGAAGGAAGTGGTAAGAAATATGCAGAAATGACAACAACAACTAATAGTGAAGTCTCTTCATGGAAGAGCCTTGACTATGTGTTCCAATATGCCTCAAAACCACCAACAGATCTATGTGTTCCAAAATGTGTTAATGGCAAATGTGTAAATAATAAATGTCAATGTGATAAAACTGAATTTGAAGGTTTGGACTGTTCATCACCTATTAAAAATAATACCCCACCAACAGGTACTATAGTCGACAATAATGGTACATCTATTATTTACAACGGAAATACCAAATACCAAATCTTTTTAATCTCGATTATAGAGCTTGATATCACACAAAATCCAGTTAAAAACTTCCCATTATCAGCCAATTGGAAAGTAATAGAATCAAACCAAGATACAGGTAGAACAATTTTTTCACAACTAATTAATAACAATGCTACCCAACTTAATTTCACTGTTGAAGAAGTTTCTGCTAAAAATTATCCAAATGGTAAAAACTACTCATTCGCAGGGCAAGACTTTATAGTTTCACCAAATTCGTTAAAAATTCAATTTTCAATGTCAAACTACACCTATTTTAACTCACTAAACACTGTAAAACTTTTAATGGAATCATCAGTCTCGAGTGAAACAAAAGACGAATGTAATAATGGTGATGCTTCAACAGATACCCAAGAAACAGATAATACACTTAACTATTTATCAATTTCAAAGGATAATAAAAAACTTTATGGCCGTTTCATTGATAAAGCTATTTCGGATAATAGAGAAACTTTAATTTCAACAAAGATCGAATCAAAAACAAATAGCTCTGTAATTGTGGCAATTTATTTACCACACTCAAAGAATGTAATTATAGATCCAGATTTTTCTGTTCTAGTTCAACCATCATTTGTAGATTCTTGCAAAAATTCAAAAAATAACTGGCTTATTCCAGTCGTCATTGTTGTTCCAGTCGTTGCCATTGCGATTATTATAGTAGTTACAGTAATAGTCATTAAAAAGAATAGAATGACGATTAAATTAAGGTTAAACTCATTAAATAGATCAATGAGTATGAAGTCTTTCAAATCAAAATCATAATAAAAAAAAAATAAAAAAAAAAATAAATAAAAATAAATAAATAAATAAATAATTTGTATTTTTATAAAGGGTTTCTAAATTTTTACTTTTTTTTTTTATTCATCATCATCATTTGCAACATAAACAATTAAGCAGAAATATAGGATTAAACAGAGAGCTGAGAATGCAAAAAGAGTAACACTTGAAATGGCCAAGGCACGAGCAATTCTATTTTTTGATTTTATATAAACACAATTTACAATCCATGGAATTACAAAAAAGAAACCAGCAATAAAAAGACATAATGCAGGAAGGGTATTTTCTTGATCCTCGTATCTAGTTTGTGGATGAACAACAACAGGTGGCATCATTGGCTGTTTATCAAGATTATTCTGTTGATTTACAACTGGAACCATATGACCATCTTTAAAAACATAGGCTGAAAAATTGGCATTTGCACCATCGTCAAAATGGGTTCCAGGAGATGGGTTTTGGGTATTAAGTGGAACTTGGGTATAAACCATACCATATGGAGCACCTACATTTGCGTAAAAATAGCCAGGTTGACAGGACTGTTGATTGAGTTCAGTTCTTTTGTCGAGCTCTACAGCAACTTCATCATCTATTTGTTTTACATATTCATCTGGATTACCCATTCTATACAGTATTAATATTTTAGAATTAATAAACTATTTAAATAATATTAGAAATATAATTAATGAACACTTACTGTCCTATAATTAAAAATTATACAGATTGATTTATATAAATTTAATATAAAAAAAAAAAAAAAAAATTGTTTTTATACGCAGGTTAATTTTTTTTTTAAATATAAATTATATTAAATTAAATAAATAAATAATTAAAAAAAAACTAAAAAAGGTAGTAAATAATAATAGCAACATAAGAAATCAATAAGAAGTAACAAAAATTTGATAAGATAGCTTTATCTCACACACACTTTAAAAAATATAATACTCCACACTCCCACTACCCCACATTACCCCACATTACCCCACACAATAATCTTTGAACAATATACAAACACAAATAAACTTTTTAACTGAATGTATATTACTTCAGATATAAAAAATTATTGGTAGAATAAATTTATTTTTGTTACTTACAATATAAAATCACTCAAAAAAACAAAAAAAAAAACAAAAAATTAATAAGGAAATAATACCACTTCAAGCACTTAAATTATTTTTACCCTTTTTTTATATTTTTATTTATATTTTTTTTTTTTTTTTTTTTTTTTTTTTTTTTGTATTTTTTTTTTTATATAGTTATTATTTTTTTAATTTTAATGAAAACTAAACAATTGTTTTGATTATTATTTTGATTTTTAAATTATTGGTAATAAATTATTTAAAATTTTTTCTGCTTTCCTTCCATTGTTTATCGGCTTCGACGAAAGAGTCATAAATTTGTTTAGTAACAACTCCCTCGTTATTAAGAGTTGAAACAACATTGAATGCAATATCCCAGAATTCTGAGGCTAAATCTAAATCTTCTTTGATATTTGTGAAATTTGGGAAATTTTCTTCTAAGTTTTCTAATGATAAATCATCTAATAAAAGACCTTTAACTAAAAGACCCATACTTGCACTTGGTTGAAGGAAAAATGGAAGTCTAAGTAAGAATAATAAATGGTATTAGTTTAAAAATAACAACAGTATATGTTAAAAAAATTGAAAAATATATAATTACTTTGTTGAAAAGGTAAAGTATTCTGATGGTTGTAATACAATTCTAAAAGTTAAAAAGTGGGATAAAGCTGTGAGTTCAACAAGATTTCTTAATGATTTGTAGAGAGTACGAGTGATTTCATGGAAACCCATTAAATCGTGATCAATTGGTCCACCCCATGGATCATTCTAAAAATAAATTAGAAAATGAAAAAAGTTAGTAAAAAAAAAAAAAATTTTTTAAATTTTTAATTTATAAACCTACATTTAATTGGCTTGGTACAAGACTTAAAACTCTTGAAATTAATAAAACGGTGGGTGTTGATAAACCCTCAAATGTTGATTTTGGTACTTTTAATGTTTCTGATGAGAGTACACCTGATCTTAATAACTCTATTAAAAGAACGGTTGGTTCTTGTAGTTTGGAATTTGAAATTTTTTCAAGACACTGAGAGAATTGGAATTTTTTATTTTCGCTATTATTGAAATATCCAATCATCTTTAAAGTTTGTGCTAATGTAATAAAAATACCTTCTTCTCTATCTTTGATCTATATATATAAGAAATGAATTGCTATTAATATCTCAAACTCTAAATAATATAAATAATAAATTTATGATTGTTACCTGTGCTATATTTTCTTCATTTTCTGAATTTATGATTGAATTATGTAATGTTTGGTAATGTTTAGCTACAAATCCAAATGAAACACTATTATTTGCTAAAAGAGTTGTAATTTCTTGTGGTACTTTAATGTTACCGCCTGTAAACTCACGAAATTCGTTTAATGATGTGCTATGTGGCATATCAAATTCCTTTGGTTCAAACCATCTTATAGTTTTCTATAAAATTAGAATAAAAAATTGTTGTTAATAAAATACTTTTTTACGTTATATTATCCAAGATAGTTACAATTGGTTTGTTCTTTAATTCATCATTTAAACAATTTGATAATAAACCAAGGGTGGTAGTTCTGACACTCTTTAAATAATCTAACATTTTACAATACTCTCCAGACTCGATAGTTGGGAATGGTTCCATTAGAATACCACTAGTGAAGTTATTGATAACTTGTGGACTTATAACACCTTGTGAAATATAAAAGTAAAGATCATTTGGTAATCTTGGACCAAAAATTGAACTTAAACTGTAATAAAAATTTCTACTGTTTATATAAAGAAAATATTAGATAAATATAAATTTTCTTTTTTTTAAAATAAATAACCACACTTACTTTGAATACATGTCTTTTGGATATATTGGGTCACATAAACATGCTGTATAATAAACCAAATGACTGTGAACCAAACCTTTTGCTTTACTAAATTGATCAAGATATTTATCTAATTGTGGACCCATAAGATAAGTTCTAATAGTATCTAAACCTGTATGATAATTTCTAACCATATCACAAGCATCTAAAATATTATAATAGAAATATAAAGTTAGTATTTAATTTCTATTTTAAAATAAAGTTTATATAATAAATACTCTTAAAACTATATTCTTTTCCAAATGATTGAATTAAAACTGGGAAAGTTGGACAATACTCGAAACCACAAAGTAAACAAGCGTCGATGAATTGATCATGAGAGAGTTGTAATTCTGAAAGAATTGATTTTAAATCTACCCAACTATATGCACCTTTTTCATAATCGATATCAGTAATTAAACGATAAACTCCATATAAAAGTAATTCTTGTGAACCATAAACTGCATTTAAATAATTCTTTGATGATGGTTCACTAAATAATGCTAATTGTGGTCCTGCAAAATATGGTGCTTTAAAAAACTCTATATTCTTTTGTTTAAAAAATTGAATAATATAATGTATAAATGATAATAATAAATTTTTTTCTAATAAATAATAAAAAACAATAAATATTAATATTTTAATCTATATTATCATATTATTATTATTGTTTAAAACTACAACTTACCAGACTCTTGGAAACATTTTTCTGCAGCGGTGTATTGTTCTTTATAATATGCATCCCATGCAGTTGCTAATTTTTGAGAACGTATGTTGGTTGGGTTTGCAAAAGTTCTTTCCTTGATAATACTGAGACCATTAAATAAGAAGAATGGTTTAATATTTGCTTTTTTAAATTTATCTAATTCCTTTTGTAATGTATCTGCAAGAGTTAATGGTAAACCACCCATAGTAATTTGAAATGGTTCTTGAACTGGTAATTTTAATAACCATGGCATTGCCTCAATACCAATTCTATAGTCATTTAAAAGTTCGATATTTGATGTTTTTGTATTTTTTTCCAAATACTCTGTATATAATTTTATTATTTGATTAAATATTATTTATTTATTAATTTAATATATTAAAATAACTATATTAATATATTTGAAATTTTAAAGTAATAAATTTATATAAATATAAAATATACATACCACTTAATTTAGTTTTGAAATTCATTTTTATAGTATATTTTATTTATTATTAATTAATTATTATTTTCACTTAATGATGATTATTATTTTAAAATAAACACACACACACAAGTAATTACTAAAAAAAAAAAATAAAAAAAAAAAGATATTTTAATTTATATATGCTTTCTTTTTTTTCCTAAATTAAAAAATAATCTATAAATTAAATGATTAAACAATAATTTATTTTTATAAATAATAAAAAAAAATAATAAAAAAAACCAATAAATTTTAAAAAAAAAAAAAAAATTGCAATTCAATTTTTTTTTAGGGGGGGTATTTATGAACTTAGGTTTTTTTATTTTTTTTTTTTTTTGGGGATTTTGAAAAAAAAAAAAAAATAAAAAAAAATTAATTTTTTTAATTTTTTTTTTTTTTAAAAAAATTTAAAATTTTTAAAAAAAAAAAAAAAAAAACTAGACGTAAATAATTTTTTTTAAATTATAATAATCTATCGATAATAATAACAACAAAATGGATATTGACGAACAAATTATTCAAGATTATACCAACTCTAAATTAGATGTTGTTCAAATTGATGGTTTAGTAGTTTTAAAAATTATTAAACAATGTAAAGAGTACCTTCCAGAATTAGTACCAGGTCAATTATTAGGTTTAGATATTGGTACCAGTTTAGAAGTTTCAAATTGTTTCCCATTCCCACCACGTGATCAAGAAGATGAAAATAGTGAATCAATCGCAGAATATCAATTAGAAATGATGAGATTATTACGTGAAGTTAATATCGATAGTAACACTGTTGGTTGGTATACCCCAACTTATCTCAACTCTTTCTTTAATGAATCAGTCATCGAAACTCAATATAACTATCAAGCTACTATTAATCAAAAATGTGTTGTTATTGTTTATGATCCAATTAAAACTTCACAAGGTACCCTTTCATTAAAATGT